TCTCTGTCACTGAAGAATAATGAAACACACAGAAAAATTTCAAGCTTTTTGGCTTGTGAAAATTGAAGTGTTACAATCCTAAATATGCACACTGAAAATTAAGTTTGATGAAATCATCAATATTGAACTTCTAAGTCATATTGATAAAACTTGGTTTGCGTACTGATAGAACAACAACAACAACAACAGAATGCAAAACATTTCCAGCCATATTGTGTTACAATGTTGAGCTAGTTATATATTTGTGACTGTAGTTCTTGGATATTTATCCATATTTCAGAAAGCTTCAAAACAAAATTTAGACTGCTAAACCAGACTTGGCCATTCCTAAGTTTTTTGCAGGGAGGAAATAATTTCCACCTGTAACTTGTCTCTTTTCCCATTATTCTTTCATGCTTTTAAATATATATATGTACGTGCAATATCTTTTTCAATGGCAGTACTAAGAGCCACCAGCCTCAGAGGTTTAGTATTACTTATCTTTTGGCAGAGTCCCTTGGCTTGGCAGATTGGTTTTCTGTCAGCAGTTCAGCACTTCAACTTTGCCATTGCAACTAAAGATAGAACCTCAGCTGTGTTTGTGGTAAAAACTTTAGCAACGATAATGTGATAGCTGTGCATTAAAGTTAGTTGTTGTAGAAAGGATTGTAATGTGAAAACATACTATTTATTATTCAAAACTCTTGAAATCTTGTACCATGGTTTCAAATGTTTGGAAATGTTACCTTTTAGACTACAGTTTCCAGAAGCCAGCACACTGAGGCCCCTTTTGCACAACCAAATACAGTCCAGAATATCTGCTTTGAACTGGATTATATGGCAGTGTAGATGCACATAATCCAATGTGGATTATCTGTTTTAATAACCTGGATTATATGGCAGTAAAGAAGGGGCCTGAGTGATCTTTTTTTTTTTTTTTTACCTCTGCAAAATTTATTATTTCCTTGGGTTGCTGTGAGTTTTCCGGGCTGTATGGCCATGTTCCAGAAGCATTCTCTCCTGACATTCTGAGCTCTGAAGTTGTGAGGTCTGAGGATGCCTGCCATAGATGTGGGTGAAACATGTGGAGAAAATGCTTCTGGAACATTGCCATACAGCCTGGAAAACTCGCAGCAACCCAGTGATTCCAGCCATGAAAGCCTTCAACAACACATATTATTTATTTCCTTCCAGGTTTTTTTAAAAATGTGATACTGAGGTCTTTTTCTCCTCTGGATTTTGATTCCAAAGTCTTTGATTCTGTAATTATGTTTTTTCACCATTATGATATAATTGCATTTTTCCATTTCTTTTCTGTGTCACCCAGAGCACTATAATTGTAAGGTGACTGATGAAATGAATAGATAAAAACAAAATTTAAAATAATGACTAGGTTTCCATATATTCTTTAAATTAAGTATACCGTATCTACAATGAAACGGAGGCCAGTGCGCCGAATTGGTGTTTCCAAAAAGATAAACATCTCAGAACTGTGCAAAACTTTATGGAAAAAAGTGTCCTTTCCAGTGGTTTTCATCCTTTTCTGACTTCGGATCCATTTTTAGTCTTAGTAACATTGATCATTTAATGCAGTTTCAAACTGGTATTGAAGAAAGTGGTTTCACTGTGCAAATTATTATATAGGAAATCTTGATAATTTCTAGTTTGAGGCCTGAATAGTGATTACATAAACCACAAAGCATCAATGTTCTTTAAGGGATTTCTTTTGCATGCTTTTGTGGGAGTTTGTTGTTATTCCACCACAGTGTGAAGGTAGCTTTGAAGTGTATTAAATGGTCAGTATAGATGGGGAAAGAGATCAACCTTTAACATATTTATTTCGTATCAAAAGCATTGCATAAATTAGTATAAAACATAAAAATAGAAGGTGTGCAGGCGGCTAAATATCTTTTGACCAAAAACGGGCAACAGCAATAGTTAGCAATGGTTTTGATAAAGACCTTTGGTGTTCATCCATATGTGGAAGGGAAAAAAAAACCACCTCCAATTTAAAATGTTTACAAGCAATGCGTTTGGATTTGGAAAGATTAGCCGTTTACGAGAAATGTTGCCTGGGGGACGCCCGAATGTATTTACTCAGTCTTCAAGGAGGCTCTTTCCGTGTCCTCCTCCTCTAACTTGTGTGTGTGTGTTTGTGTGTATGGTTTTCTTTCTCCTTCTCTTCTTTCTTCAAAACCACTAAGTAATAGAATAAAAGTGGTAATGGTAGTGGTGATACTATTGGTACAACCCACTTAGGGTGCATCTACACTGTAGAATTAATTCAGTTTGACATCAATTTTATTGCCATAGTTCAATGCTACAGAATCATGCACATTGAAGTTTAGTATGGCCTTTAGCCTTCTCTGCCAAATAGTACTGGTACCTCCTTAAACTACACCTCCCATGTTTCCATAGCACTGAGCCATGACAATTAAAGTGGTGCCAATCAGTATTAATTCTACAGTGTAGCTTCACCCTAAGATCAGGGAGAGGGTCATAAATAGTGGATCACGAGTGATAATCCCCCAGTTGAAGAGCAGATGAGATCCTGTTCTGCTGTTTGTTGCTAGTGCCTAGATGTCAAAATATCCCAGAGGCCAGATGCATAATGTGACTGTTGAGATATGAAGCCTGTTGAATGTGTCTTTAACTTATCAGTTGTATAATACTTTGTTTTGAAATGTTGGGTGTGTCTTTAATGTATCAGTTGTATAATACTTTGTTTTGAAAATGCTTCAAAAGCAATCACTAGGAGGCACCTCTTACTTTGTCTGGATCCGCACTGCCCTTTATCCCAGGATCTGATCCCTGATGTATCTTCTTATCCCAGATTATCTGGCAGTGTGTACTCATATAATCCAGCTCAAAGAAGTTAATCTGGAATCAGATCCAGGGATAACGGGGAATGTAGATCCAGGCTTTTACTCACTGATGTCAATACAGTTATGTTTCAAAATGAAATAAATGTATTTATTTCTAATTAGACCTCCTTTTACATATAAAAATCAGATTATCTGATTTGAACTAGATTATATGCTCATATAATGCAGTACAAAGCAGATAATGTGGGTTATCTGCTTTGATAATTTGGATCTTATGGCAGTGTGGAAGAGGGCTGATAGAATATTGTATCATTTCAGCTTTAATTCCGTACATGTCTGCATAGGCCAGTGTTTCTCAACCTGGGAGTCGGGACCCCTGGGGGGGGGGCACGAGGGGGTGTCAGAGGGGTCACCAAGACCATCAGAAAACACAGTATTTTCCGTTAGTCCTGCTGTGTGGGAAGTTTAGCCCAATTCTATCATTGGTGGGTTCAGAATGCACTTTGATTGTAGGTAAACTATAAATCCCAGCAACTACAACTCCCAAATGTCAAGGTCTATTTCCTCCAAACTCCACCAGTGTTACATTGGGCATATCGAGTATTCGTGCCGAGTTTGGTCCAGATCCATCATTGTTTGAGTCCACAGTGCTCTCTGGATGTAGGTGAACTACAAAACTCAAGGTCAATGCCCACCAAACTCTTCCAGTATTTTCTTTTGGTCATGAGCATTCTGTATGCCAAGTTTTGTTCAATCCATTGTTTGTAAAGTTCAGAATGTTCTTTGATTGTAGGTGAGCTATGAATCCCAGCAACTATAACTCCCAAATGCCATGGTCTATTTTCCCCAAACTCCTTCTGTGTTTATATTTGGGCATATGGAATATTTGTACCAAGCTTGGACCAGATCCATCATTGTTTGAGTCCACAGTGCTCTCTGGATGTAGGTGAACTACAACTCCAAAACTCAAGATCAATGCCTACTAAACTCTTCCAGTATTTGTTGGTCATGGGAGTTTTGTGTGCCAAGTTTGGTTCAATTCCATTGTTGGTGGAGTTCAGAATGCTCTTTGATGGGAGGTTGACTATCAATCCCAGCAACTACAACTCCCAAATGACAAAATCAATCCCCCCCCCCAACCCTACCAGTATTTAAATTTGGTCGTATTGGGTATTTGTTCCAAATTTGGTCCAGTGATTGAAAATACATCCTGCATACAGTATCAGATATTTACATTACGATTCATAACAGTAGCAAAATTACAGTTACAAAGTAGCAACGAAAATAATGTTATGGTTGGGGGTCACCACAATTTGAGGAATTGTATTAAGGGGTCGCGGCATTAGGAAGGTTGAGAACTATTGGCTTAGGGTGAGAAGGCCCCACTGAATGTTAAGGTTAGCAGGGGACAAGTGGAGATAAGACTTTATGGCATTGTGTTTGCACTGCTTGACGGCACCAGCTTTATTAATTGCCGGAGCAGATGTTTTCTTCTTGTGAACTTTTAAACTATAATCTCTGTTTCTGTCAGTATGTTTGACTTGTGTTGTTTTTATGGTTTTATTTTTTACGCCCGCTAACTGTGGCAAATACTGATATGACTGGAGCCAAAACAGCTACAGAAAAAAATAAATAGTATTAAAAAAATAAATAGTATTAAAATAGTATTAAATAGTATTAAAAATACTAAAAAATATTAATAAATAGTATTAAAAATAGTATTAAACTATTCTGCCCCTTCTGGGTTTCAAATGTTTTAATCTGTTTTAACCTGGAAGGGATAGCAGTTTCCTCGCTCACCCACTCCCAAGTTTAGGATATTGGTTGGTGAAAAACAGCAAACTTTGGACAATGTATAGTCTACAAATGGAATAAAGAAAATACCTTTGCATATATAATTCCCCGAACGTGTGCCCACATCAACTGGCCAAATTCTATATTTCAAGGTGTACCTGCTTCTCGAACTTGTTGCCTCTTCTCTGTGTAGATTTTGAGGAAGTAGTTTCTGTGAAGGATAAAGAAGCACCTCTCTCTTTATTAAAACCCTACTTAGCTTTTATTCTAGATTTGTGGCTCATATTGAATTTTAAGCATTTTTTCCAAGTAAGTTTTCTCTCTGAAAAGCTGTTTAGTAACCTTTTACAAAGTACTAGTGCAATGAATCTTTTTGTTTTGTTTTCATTTCTTCAACTGCAGCACATCCCTCAAATTATTCTCGTTGTCGGACATTTCTGTATGGAGAAAAAGATGGGAGAAGCTGTTGCAAGAGTAGCTCGGAAAGTGAATGAAACTGTTGAAAACAAAGCAGATTCTCTGGGTAAGTTAATCACTTTGCCTTTGCTCAAAACTGATGAAGCTTCACAATATTTAGTCAGAGAGCTGACCTGTCTTGCACAGTGCTGCCTGCTCTGAAACACTATTTTGGACTAGATCTCTAGCCTGCTTCATAACTTCATACTTTACTAGATGTCCCAAGGATTAAATCTGTCTCCTCCTTTGCCGGTGAGCTAATTGCATTGGTCTTTTCCTTCCAATAAGCAAGGTTGTGAACAATCACATAATCAATCCTGGCCGCATGGCTGCTATATTCATGCACTGGAATTATGTGGCATATCAACTTGACTAGTATGGTATAATGGTTTGAGTGTTGTACTACAACTTTGCCAGCGTTAGCATGAGTAGTCTGCAGAATGACTCTAGCCCTTGTAACTCTAAGTGTGATAAAAATAACTCATACAGAAAACATGAGTCTTTTCGCTTTAAGTAGAAATAAAATGAAGTTCTATTCACCATATACAAAACAAGACAGAAGAATTGTTCTCACCAAAATATAACAAAAACAATATCTTCGGTGAGTCCTCTTCAATCAACGGCGATATGCAGCCTTGTAACAGAATAATATACAGTCTCTCTAACTTAACTTAACTACGGACAACTTAAGTTGTCCGTAGAGTGACCTTGTCTTGCTGTAAACAAACTTTATCTTCAGGACGCTTGCAGAACTACTCCTGGCACCAAACAAAGGGTTTTCAGCTCAAAATGCTTAGAAGCTCAAAGCTTAGAATGCAATGCTCAAAAATTTACAAACACACTGTGGCTTACTTTATACAGGAGAAAAATCATACACTCAATTAACCCGTGACAGCTGCAACAGAAAAAGCCCTGATCCTTTCTAGAACTTAGAAAAAGTACATTGCAAACCTCTAGTACAATAGTTCTCAACCTTTCTAACATCTAACATTATTTTCTCTTGGATCGTTGTACAAATTTGGATTTTGGCTCATGCTGTAAATTTGATAAATCAAGTTGAGTCTTGGTTGGACTTGTTAAATTATGTTACCAAATAGAAAGACTGATTGAAGACAAACACTAAAAAAAAACCCCAGATTTTATTATTATTCTAATGTCACATCCAAAGAACTGTGTAAGTGTATTATCAGGGACAGGAATTGGCGCATGAAATGTGTAAGTGCATAGGTTCAGCAGTGCCCCAGAATCAGATATTCCCAGATGGTTCAAAACACAATTGAAGTGATCTGTGTACTCTTGTGGTTTGTGATTTTTATTCACTCTCACTAGAGATCCAGTAGGTGGAGTAGTTTCACTATTAACTAAGAAAGAAATCTCAATCCACAGTTTTACTTTTTGAGCTCTGGAGACAGCAACAAAAATAAGAAAGTGAAATATCTATAGTTTGGATTGCAAGCGCATTTGTGTCACTTTTACTTGGGTGTTTTCCAGTGGGGGGTATTTACTAGGTCATTGAAAGACTAGCACAACTTTGGTTTACCTTAACAAGGATCGTATTGTCGAAGGCTTTCATGGCCGGAATCACTAGGTTGTTGTGTGTTTTCCGGGCTGTATGGCCATGTTCCAGAAGCATTCTCTCCTGATGTTTCTTCCTCACAACCTCTGAGGATGCCTGCCATAGATGCAGGCAAAACATTGGGAGATAATGCTTCTGGAACATGGCATACAGCCCGGAAAACGCACAACAACCTTTAACAAGGATTTGTTATATGAAGGCTGAGACGAATAATGTATGAACTATGAAATATTTTTAAAAGATAGTATAGGGATTTTTGGCATTGTGGAGAAGAAGAAAATAATGAAGGACTCATCCCCAGAATGCTGAGGTTAAATATTAGTTTGTTTTTTTAGTTTTTTATTTATTATAATTATTACTTGTTTCAAGATTGAAAAGCCTCCCATACATTGACTTCCAAAAATGGAAAATCAGGGAGAAATAATCAACAGAGAATTAAAATAATTCAAACTGTATTTAAAACCGATGTAGCTACTATGACTAGCAACACATTGATAACTTCTTGAATTATATTAAAAAGTTTAGGGCTGCTATGTACTTCTTTGGGCTCACATTTCAGAAATGTGTTAATTCCCTATAGTGTTGGGAATCAGCCTGTGTTTGTGTTTCAGGATCTGATGTGGGAAATGATGAGGGAAATGATGTTGCCGAGGCTGAGGTACAAGATGGAGATGGTTTGGTCAATGATTTTCATACAGACAATGATAGAGAGGCCCCAGTGCAAAGGGCATTTTCTCATGAGAATATCCCTGGGCCTAGCAGTGATAATTCACTCCCTCTTTCTGTGAGCTCTCAAGATTTGGGTTTGGAAAACAATCTGACACCTGGGAATTTTAATGAGCAGCTAGAGCAGCCAGATAAGGAGCTGATGAATAGGCGGATGGATATTAGCCAGGATTGGCAACAATCTCAGTATTTACGTCGCTCTGAAAGGCTGCGTCTGATAAAGGGAAAATGTGGAGGGAAATGAAACCAATTTCTGAGTTTTGGGATATAAAGTTTGCTTCAAGGGGAAACCTGTCAGATCAGGCATCGTTTGGAAACCAAGTTCTTGTGCCATGGAAGTCTTATTCAAGGGGTCTTGTTTCTGTGGAGTTTATTAGCCTTTAGGATTGTTTTTTTGCATCCTGCTTGATTCCTGTCTGGATTAATGCGGTCTTGGATTGCCTGTATTTCTTGTGTGGATATTGCCTTGGATTACTACTGTTTATGGATTAATACTTTTTGAAACCTTCTGATTTTCTTATAAGCATTTATTTCTTCTGGCTATTTGCTAAGCTTCAATAAAAGAAGATTTGTTTCTACACTCTTCATGTGGTCTGTTTTAAGTCAGAGGGCTTCTTCTAGTCCTGGAGTGCAATATATAGTGACATTGAAAGTTACGATTTTAATACTTTGTCTGAATGTTTAAATTTTGTTTATGTCTTGTGTTTGATGGTTTTAATGATTTTAAGAAAGTTATATGTTCTAAACTCCAGGAGTGAGAAAGGCAGTATATAACTACAATAAAATAAATAAAAATAACATAAGTAACAATTTTCTTTAAATGTAGGAAAATATTTGTTGTTGAACTTAAGATGGGCTAAAAACATTAACATTTCTTTAGATACTTTGTAACAGTTTTATGTGTCGAAACACAAAATATAGATACCATATATCGTATTTGTGGGGAGGAGGTCCTTAAATGCCACCAAATCAGAGTAACTCCCTCCACTTTGAACTTAGAATAGCCCCTTCCTTCCCCCCTTTAAAAAACAATTGAAAACCTATTTATGCTCCATAGCCTATGGAGAGATTGATGAATGAGAAGTGTCCTTGTTAAGGATATGCAAATCCTGAGAGCCTCTTTTATACTTACATCTTATATTTTTACTCATATCTCATATTTAAACATTATTTACTAGGCTTGTTTGATTAAAAAAAAGGTTCAAAACTCGTTTCGGATGTAGGGGGCGCTGGTGGTTCGATTTTAAAGTCAATTCCAATTTTCACAGAAAAAAAAGTTCAAAACTTAAAAAAAACTTCCGAGACTTCCGAATCCTTCCTTAATGGTTTGAGAGTGTTGTTTCCTGTTTCATTGGGTGGTCTTTACTTTGCAAGTAGTTGTTTTACTCCAGAAAGGTTGGGGGGGGGGGAGTAAAGGGAGGAAAGTCACCCACTGGGTTTTAAAACGCTGTGCAGGCTCTGGAGGGAAGAAGGGGGGGGGAGCAAAGTCACCCACTGGGTTTTAAAACGCTATGCAGGCTTGAACCAAGGACAGGGAAATGCTGAATCATTTTCCGACTCAGAGCTTCATTACAGAAATGGTGGGAAAAGCTTCGGAAGGGCAAAGGGACTTCTGGTTTCCTTAAAAAGTTCAAAATCGCTTCAAAAAAGCAAATCTTTTCGAATTTATTCCGAATTACAAAGTTTACGACTGAACCTAACCATGTCTAGTATTTACTGCTCATGCACTTTATGAGGCCTGATCACCTATCTTTCTTATGGGGGTCTATTTTTAATCAATGTTTTAATCTATTACAAAGCAGCCCCTGCAGACTGAAAGGTTGGCAGTTCAAATCAGTGGAGTGAGGTGAGCTTTTGTCTGTCAGCTCCAGCTTCTCATGCAGGGTCATGAGACAAGCCTCCCAGACGATGGTAAAACATCCAGGTGTTCCCTTGGCAACATCCTTGCAGACGGCCAATACTCTCACACCAGAAGGGACTTGCAGTTTCTCAAGTTGCTCCTGACATGGAAAAAAATATTACTCAGTTATTTTTAGAGTGTTGTGTTTATATGACTGTATGTGGAATTGAATGCTTCCTTTTGCTTTGGAAGCTGTCCTGAATTTCTTCGGGGAGAGAGGGTAGGTTGGAAATAAAGTTGTTGTTGTTGTGGTTGTTATCATCATCACCATCATAATCATCATCACGACCACCATCATCATCATCTGAATCACCCAAATTGAAGACAGAGGAATTTGAATGTCCTGCTTTATGTTAGATGTACAGTTGGAAATAACCACTAAAATTTATGCAGAAGACAGGAAGGAGAACCTTGGTAATTCCTAGTTTTCTTGAAGTTGTTATAATATTTTTAAAAGCCAGTGAGGGAATAGAGTGTATATTTGTGTAATTAATTTAATTTAAAAGAAAGGCATACCAGAAAAGACCAAAATACTATGGTTCTGTTGGAATAGGTATGCCACATGTAGTGATATGAGAAGGTGGTGGCAATCTGAGGACAAGGAAGAAAGCAACAGGAAGAAAGGACAGACAGCTCAGAGCTGTCTCTTCTGCAAATGACAAGCTTCAAGACAAAGAAGCGGTTGTCATTGAAATCAAAACCCTATGAAAGAGATACTTGGAAAATCACCTGTGCCACAGAATTTGTTGCTTTTAATTGCTGCTCTTCTTCTGTCGTGAATGAATAGACAGCTCACAGGATGGACTATTCTGTGAGTATTTTGACGCAATAAGGAGCTGGCAATAGAAACCAGAAATATCTCATC